AGACTGTTTGAGCTGCAATAATGTAACTGTTGCTAGCAAGGCAGGACATGCTTACACTTCTAGAACATCTGATACCACTGAGTGACTGGGGTTTGGCAACTCAACAACCTTTTGATTAATTGGTATATTTATTAGCAGTCAAAAAAGTGCCACCTTACATATTCTAAGTTTCACAATAAATAAGATGGATTCCTAGACAGCATTTATCTTGTTTGAAATTTATAACAAATATGTTGACCTTGACACAGTGAACATGAGATATATTTTCTCTTAAACATGGTTGACATTATATACCTGACTTCTGTCACTTCACATAACAACATCTTTTATCTCACTGCACACAATCTCTCATTTCTCTTTTTTCTAATTTTTCTACAGAAATTCTCACCAAAGTGTATTTAAACTATTGTATTACCAACAAATTAATCTTCATACATGGAGGGAAAAAGACACAAAGGTGAACCATATCAAACCATTTTTTAGAACAAATGATATTTTTGTTTGACAGCTTAGACAATCCCTTTGCAAATGTTTTTCTATTACCCTTTTAGTCTACATTTATTTATATAACAAGACCCTTGTTTAAATGGCTATATATATTCTGGTTATCTGTAACCACTGTGAAACACCTTTAAGGTTCCTGAAATGTAAAAGAGGAACTTGTCTTTTATTGGCCACCCTAACCATTAACAATCTTGATGAGTAGGATTGTCTGTAGCTCAGTCAGAGCTTCATCATCTGATGACATTTGCTTGGTTATGTCGATCAGATGGTGGTCTTGAGTTTGAATCTCAATCAGTGGAATTTTTTTCTAAATGTGTATGGACAATCCAATAGATCTCTGAGACAGGAGTTGTGACAGAAGATCATCTGTTACACAGGATCCTTGAGATCCCTATATTATTATCTTTGCAAAATACACATGCTTCTTACTTTTCTTTGCTGTGAGACAGATAATAAAGGCTCAACACATCCTATTGAAAAGTGATTTATTTGTAGCATTCATTAGTGTAAGTATGATATATGCAGCCCCTTTGTCTTAAAAAAAAGCTGATCAAATTTGTCTTGCGTGTAAAATTTTACAAAAAAATTTATCACAAAATTTGATTTGTTTGAGAAATGATGACCAACTACTTTATTCATACAAGAAACAAATTTAATTCAGTTTATAATTGGAATATATTTTAAATGAGATTTTAAAATAGAATGATAAATTATCGTCATTTATAATCAAACTATTGAGAGAAAAGAGAATTGAAGCCTAAGGTTAAGATTTAACGAAGTCTGGAAGAATGTTATTATCCCTAAAAAAGACATTATTCATTGGAAACATTCAATTTTGTAAATTGCTCCACTTTCCTCAAATAATCTGTCACTAGTCAGCCATCTAACATTTTCCATTCCCCGAGGAAAACCTCGGAACAAAAATCATTAGGATACTTGTCACAAATAATATCACTGTGAGTTTCGTAGTGCAGGAAATTGCTATCACTTTCTATGAAGGAAGGAGAGAAGGTCGTGACGCCAATCAGATATTGAAAACGGAGTAAAGCAGTCAAGCAGAAAGCTTTACGTTGCTTCGGAAATGAAAATATCAATATTGTTAGTGTTGATACTAAAGTAATGATAGAAATAGAACATTGGTCTGTTAATTAAATCTTCTGTTTAATATGGTGACCATGTCTTATAGTCTTCACCAATCAACTGTTGATCATTATACTTCTACAACTCACACTTGAGGTTTGTTTCTAGTTAAGAGGAATAAGTTAGTCAATGATCTGTATCAACTACTTAGATTATAGTCTTTATAAAATATAATTTAGATAGTTTATTGTATAACCTATAGTTATTGATTTCTAGCTAATGGACTATTTACTAGTAATATTCTACTTAGTTTTTGTGAAATGATGTAACACAATATTGATTTCACTTGTCAAATCTTTCATTCTAATAAATAAAAGATATAATTCTTTCTTTTTATTTTGTCATCTGTAATAACTTAGTAAAATTACTTCCCAGACATGAATGCATAAGAAAAAATGAGTGATCAGGAAGCAATGAAAGGAAGTTTGTTGACTAAAAATGCAATGTTTTCCACCACAATATCATTGATGAATTTTTGGGAATCTATCAGTATGTTTCCGATCTTTTTATCAGTTCTGAAAGTCTATGTTAAAAAGTTCTATGGTCGGCACCACAAGATTATTGGCAATTGTTTCCTTGAGTTAAAATTTATAAACAAATATCTTTATAGTTTGGGTTTTTTTTCTTGATCACTGTGGGGAAACATTGCTTTTAAGTCACGCACTAAAACTTATAACTTAATTACACCAATGTATCAATCTGTCTACCAGTTCTTGATCATCTCATTGTCCTCCTTGAGGTGAACCACAATCAGAATGGTTCACCAAATGGTTGTCCTTTTACATTACAAATTTATCTCTTCTGTTCTGAGACTATACAATTTTTAAAACAGAAAAGGAATTAATTTGTGATAAAAAAAATTTGCTTAAAAATGTAATATTATCCTAGATGATTATTGAAATAGATGGAATCAAGTTGATCTACATTCAGACTGAAGGTTATTTCTAAAAATGATAAATAATTAGAAGAAAAAATACAGTAATTAATCTTGGTTATAAGGTGAACTATTGATTTCATTAATAGAACACATTGTCAAGTTAATTTGTTTTGTATGACAGCGTGAATATACTGTGAATCAAGTTAATAGTAGAATTAATAAGATTATTGACTCCAAGCTTCCTGAGAGAAAAACACAGTAATAAATAGTAGTAGTTGTTGGTCGAGAACTAATTACTAAACGCTGACCGTACTTATCAATTAGTTTACCTCTTTTTCTCTCTATCTATATTATACACATTAAAGGAAATGTCAAGTCTAATTGTGTATTTCTGTAGCACGTCAGGCTGGCTGTTACCTTTCCAGAAGTAAACACAATCAGATTATTTGATTGGCTTGAGACATCTGAAGTCATAAATCATAATTGCTCTGTCAGTTTTCTTACTTTACAAGTGCTATATATGAAAGAAAATTCCGTGATTTCTAAAAATCAACAAGACATTAATATTTTCTGAAACGTGAACCCCGTCTGAAAATTTCACATGATCAAAATAGTAACGCTACACATGAATTAAAACATTATCAATAGCGTTTAATTGTTTGATAAACTTGGTTTTCTGTTTTGTGGTCAAAAAGCTTTGTAGCAAAATTTGTTTACATGTAAGATTTCCTTTAAAGTGTAATTCAGTTGCAGTAAGTTAGTTTTTCAAAGAATTGGCACAAGTCTGAATTTTAATATTGATAAAGATAAATCATTAACTGTCATATTCTTAGCATTAATTACTGTTAGCATATAGTTTATATTTACACGTGGAGCCTATTAAACAGTATGAAAATATCATTACAGCTATATTATGTAAGAAAAGCCATATTTAATTCTCCTATACGATATGTTTTTTATAAAAGGATGAAACATCTCAAGTTATTTTCTATAGTGATTTATATTATCTGTAATCTATTAATAGTCAGGAGAAATTGAGAGGGGGAAAACGGCACTGATCATGTGATATAATCTGTCTGTCTACGTTATTGATCTAAAATGTGGTTATTTTCAGAAAGAAAGAGAAAATCTGGCCTTCATTACATAACAAGTTTGATCAAAGTCTATTATTTTATCTAGCTATGTAGACTAAAACCAAACCATATTATTATATTACCAGTCTTTTCTTATAGCTTGAATTTGGCCCAAATTATACGAGAGAAATTTTTGACATTTTCTTACTTCTTGCCATGAGAGCACATGTTGAGTTATTTTAAGAATGTAGCCAAATTAAATGAAATATAATCTTGTAGTTTATTGTAAATAGAACGTCAATTATATAATAATATATATAGTAAGACGTAGCTAGACATTACTGGTTTTAGTCTAATCATGCATGAACAGTTCTCCCCATAAAGAGATCTTGTGTCTTTAATAAATTGTTATCTCATTTTTTTTTACAAGTTTTAAAATCTTATACATCGAAAGTTGGAAACAGTAATTTTTCACAATGATAAGGCCTAAAACTATCTAAATGCCTTGGCAATCTATGTTAAAATTATCATAAAATAGTTATCGCTTTTTTTATGCAAATTTAAATATCTTCCAAAAATTTATATAGTAATTTATTGCAATGATAAGGGCCAAAAATTAACTAAATGCCCATCAAAATCTGATGTGGATAAGATTACTTGATGAACGGAAATTGCAATAGCCAGCAAAAAAACTTGATAGAAGAATAGTTCTATTGAATTTTTTCATGTAAAAGTATGTCTTTTATTAACTTAAGCTAAATAGGGATCATGGCTAGAGTAGAGAGATTGGTGCCAATTTCTATGAGAATCTATCACCTGCAATAACAGACGTGTGGAGAAATAGAGGGGAATATTTTTTTTATTGTGTTACAATTCCATATGGAAGTTATCAGAACATTCTCTAGAAGATATTATCTCAAGAAACATGCGACTATGTTGAGATGAACATATCCAAACTGACCTTTTATTTTACACTGATACATCAACACCTTTCATTAATTCTTAATTCTATGGAGACATATTTCAATTCACAATTATTATTTTTATATGACCACTTCTGAAACTGTTTTATTTTACTATTTATTGAAGTCTGAATGAATGAATGGAAGGTTGCAATTTCCAATAATTTTTTGGGGAATTAATTCTTGATGAGACTCATGTTTTTGATTTTCTGGACCTTTCTATTATCAAGAGATAAAAATAAAAATTGGTCTGGAAGACCAAGATTAAATCAGCTGTTGCCATATATAGATAAATCATCAATCAGATTTTCCATACTGAATTGCTGTGAATGGCAGAAATTTAGTTTACAAAATATTAAAGAAAAAACTAGAGAACTATATTCCTTGAAAAATGCATTTGATCATTGTTGGACAGTTCAAAACCTTGATTTTTGTTCTTTTCAGATTGTGAGCAAAGTTTCAGCCCAACCCGGTTATGATTTGGATCTTGGTTACAGATTGCTGGCAGTATGTGCATCTCACAAAGAAATGTTCAGTAGCAAAGCTCAAGGTTAGTATCATTAAGATCCGCAAAACAAAAACGGTGTAAAGTTTCAAGTCAAAACTACAAGTCAAAGCATACATTCCCTTGAAAATCATCTTGCTCATTTTCATATACACATACCCAATCTTGCCCTTTTTATTTTCATTTTTTCTAAGCTTTTTATTATTTTTGAGATAATTTTTCTTTTTGTTTTGAGTACTTGTAAAGTGAGTATATTGAGCTCTTGTTTTAAGTCATTACATTCACAAATAGGCACAAATTAAAATTAATAGTTTTATTCACCAAGCACACATTTTTCACCGACATACAAAAGAATTTTATAAATACCAATACAAATATTTGAATTGGCAAAGCATTTTAATGTGCATATAACAGATTTTAATTTTTTTAAATGATTGATAATGCATGATAATGTCTTAATATTTTGAAATATGATAATTTATATGATTTATATTGCTGCTATTATAGATATGCAATATCAGAAATTAATGCATCTTTCTGCTTTTGGAGAAAAAAATGGAAATTAAGTTTCAGTCATGCTGTTGACAGCATCTACATTGTATTGTTTTGATGCATTTAAACTGAATTTGTTGATTGTTTATTGCACATTAAGCATGAGTTAAAAGTGATCTTTCACTTCAATTAATTTATTAAACTTTTTAGTTAAAACTAATTATTTGCTTTATCACAAATTACAGTTGTGCACCATTTATGAAAAACACAAGTTCATTCTCCTGATCAATCTTTAAATCATAATGCACTTTAATACAGATACTAAATCATGGGGAATAACTCTAATCATTTTTTACCCGTCTGATTTATTTCAATGAAATGTATTGATCTCAATATGTGATTACTGTAATTTTAACCAATTATTGTCCAGGATTGATACAAGATTTTGTAAATAATCACTAGTATTTGTTTTCAATATCCTGGGGCCAGTTATTATTGTCCCATTGAAAAACTGTTACAAGTTATATATTACCAGTGATAGTTCAGAGTGATTTTATCTATTTGAATATTCATAATTTATAGGGCTGTTGAATTCCACCAAACATATAAGTAATTGTTTATGTTACAGGGAAGTGATTTATGAGTATATATATATATATGTGTGTGTGTACAGTTATTGTATTTTATAAGTGCTTATATATTAAAGATTGGCTCCCACTTTTTATTTTGTTCTGTGTTCAATAATCCATTGTAATCGTAGTTTAATCTTTAGAGCTTTATCTCCAGAGTCTCAAAAAGCTTAACTGATTTGAGCTACACTACAAAAATCACTGCAAGACCCTTTAACACTCTGCAACTGAGTTTGTCAGCTCAGCATTTTCTTCACAGCTAATAATTTTCAAACATTTATTGAATATCTTGTGTTATTACCTGCCATTAATTAGAAATCAATGACCTTGTAATTTACTTCCTTATCCATAAAGTTAACCTATTGGATGATTATATCTAAGCTTGATTTTATTTTGTGCTACTTTAAGATAAAAGATTTATTGAAATGTGTCATTGTAACCTGTTAAAGTGTGATCTCCTATTGATTTGACATTTGAAGATTAAGAGTTAAAATTTAAGATATTTGACACCATGAACAAACTGTCCTTTATACAGAAATGTTTAACCAAGAGTCTTTCATAAAAACCATTAGAAATTGTGTGTCACAAGTTACACAATGGTAATATTTGGAAGCATTTAGCACCATCAAGAAATTTAGAATGTAAAGCATACCATAAGTTCTGGGCTTGTTATTAGTGTTAGCAAGGAAACACAGGTATGATGGGGTTCGTTTAGACCAAGATTGTCATATTGACAATGTGATAGAGAAAGTTGATTTTGGTAGAAGAACTAATGTTGAAAGGTGTAACTAGATGTAACCAACTTGTCAAATAAAACAAGGCTAAAAACTTCTCATAGAAAAGGAAGTTGGTTCAAGAACAAACAACATGTTCTCTATTGACAAAATTTACTTTCTGACCTGTTGAGGTCAGCTCAGAGCAAAGGCCACATAGTCCATAAACAAATAAGAATGTGAAAAGAAAATAAGTTCATTTTTTATATGAAGTTATCATGAAGGTTATTTGTATGGTAATTATTAAGACTACACTGTTTTAATTTTTGTATATTATACTTATTATATCAGGTCAAATTTAAAAAATTGAATTGGGATGCATATTATGTATTTATATCTCATTCATTTTATCCATCAGAGGAGATATCATTAATAGACAGGTGATACAATTGATCTAGCAGAGCAGATATCAATAAACAGATGATACAATTGATCCATCAGAACAGATATCAATAAACAGATGATACAATTAATTCTTCAGAGCAGATATCGATAGACAGGTGATTCAGTTAATCCATCAGAGCAGATATTAATATACAGATGATGCAATTGATCCATATGAGATGATATCAAAAAACAGATGATTCCGCTGATCCATCAGAGCAGATATTAATTAACAGATCATACAATAGATTATAGCAATTAATACGATTGATCTAGCAGGGCATCAATAGACAGCTGATTCAGTTGATCTGGAATACCTGTAGCAGATATCAATAGGCAGATGAGTAAGCCTATCAAGTACATGAGAATGTGCCCTATCTGTGATATATGAAAGGTGTTAAATATTGTGTGTTCTGTTATTTTAGTATGTATGGTAATTTCCTATATATAATTATATCATATATAAATACATTATAACTTATTTTTAATAACCAATCCAGCACCATTTACAAAAATATGGCAGTTGCCCAAGTCTAAATACTTCTCTACATCTTGCATAATTTTTTCAATGAGATTTTTCTCTTGTTTTCATATGAGGAAGTTCTAAATAATTTGACTTAATGCCAATCTGTATTTGTCACAAAGCCAAAAGTATTGATAGTTTGACTGTAAACTATTGAAAGTAAGTTTGTTATTAAAGCTATTAACAAATGTCAGTTGTTAAAAGACAAGTATTGTCAATAAATAGGTGTAAATAGGGATCACAGAAATTTACAGTATGAGGACAGGTACATTGGATAGACATTACTCTGATGTCTTCCGTTTGAAGTATGTTCAAGTTGAATGAAGATGTGCAAAGATCAAATTTTACAAATGCTTTAACTTAGACTATAATGAAATAAGATTCTTAATGATCAGCTTAATGAAGATCCTTAGCTTAAACTACAGGTGATACTCTTAACATCCTATAGTATTGCAAAGGCTAAAAGAAATAATGAATGATTGATTGAATGAATGAATTAAGTATGTTTCATTGCGTAAGTACATTGCATATAAACAGCGATTGACTCAAAGTTAAATAAAACAGACAGGCCACCTTGCTCTTTTCTCTCAGTTTTGAAACTGTGTAGAAACTGATTACACAACAAATATTGTATATTGATCTCACTCAAACAATTGTTGACTGAATTAAGACATAGAAGAAAGCAGGGATGCTAATTGTTTGACCAAGATTTAGAAAGTGACTTCAGAACCAACCCTCCAATTGGCACATCTCCAAACTAGTCTTGTTGTTTCACACTGTTTGTAATGAAATAAGGCCATTGTACGTATCATTTTGTTTTGAGGTACAACAGAATTCTTAATTACCTGAAAGGAGACCTTTCTGATGGTAGTTATAAAAATTTGTGGTAGTATTAACCTATTTGAAGAGTCCGTTGTGCATATAATTTGCATATATTTTTTTAGAATTTCAGACAAATTGTAACATTTATGTCTAATAAGATGAATTGTATGTAAATATGTAAGATTTTTTATGTTATATTAGCTAGACATTCTTTTTACCTGTCATTCTTTTCCTGTTTTTAGCAGATGTGCAGAAGAAACAGATTTTATTTATTGTGAGCCTACAGAAATCTGCACGCTAGTGGCTTACACTAAGATCACCTACAAATTTGTTTGTTGAATGCAAGGCATGGCCCATTTGTTACTTAGTATTTGATTTCCTAGTTGTATTCTTTCTACCTGATGTGAGACTTACAATAAAGAAGTTGAACAAAGAGTCAGTTTAATATTATCACTGAAAAATTCTCCATTACATAATTGGGTTTATTGTCCTATATTAGCTTTTCTCCAATCTTCTATTATAATAGAGGTCAGACTTAACTCTTTATCACTGTAAACTAGATAATAGAAATAAAGCAACAAGCATGTAAAGTAATTCTAAACCTTTAAACATGCTGGCTATATCAGTTTCTGATACAAAACTAACTGTTTTTTGTCGACAATATCAGCAGAAGTATATCTACTTGTAAATTCAAAGTGGTTAAAGAGCTAAATAAACATGGCTAATGTTTTCACTAACAGAACTTTCTGTATATATCTATATTCAAATTTCTAATCAGTTTTATATAAAATTATTATATGTATCTGACAAATTGATGCTTTCTTACTTATCTAAAGTAATATACCGGTACATGTATTCACATTTACACAAATATTCCTGATTTCTCAAAAAAGCATTTCATCCGTAACGCAAGTCAGATCTTTAGAGATTTTAACAACAAGCAATTACTTAATGTGTTGCATTACATCAGCAAATCCAATATCCATGAACCAAAAATCACAGTTGGATGTATCAGTTAATAAGATGTTACATTATAAAACTAAGGCCTCTCTGGAGTTGGAAATTGAAAACAAGAAGGTTAATGCCCTGACAAAATTTCCTTCATTACACACTGCATGACAACTTGCCTCTTCGTAAGCACAAAATGGAACTAATGATCAATTAAAACTTTAAAAGGAACTCAGTTTTAAAATTGTAGTATAATATATTGTAATATGTTTTATTTTATAATAAATAAAATACATGGTTAATTATGTTCTTGGAAATAAATCTAGTTTGTATTTATAGTTTATCTAAAGGTGTATTTACAATCAGGTATTTTTGGCTCTTTATCCTGATATTTAGCTGATGAAATATTAAGAACAAAGTGGAATTTTCTTATCCTACCTTGTATTTGCCAAACTAATCTAGTTATAAAGCATG